GCAATATCAGTCCGTGGGTTTTCCGAATAGAGGCATTTTAGTGTCTCAAGGTCATTTGAAGGCCATTATTTTCAAGCGTGTTTTTCTGCCGATCTGTAGGAGTCTGAGTGACAATACTCATGTCAGTTTGAGGTCACGCACAGGCCAGCGGTTTGTGGAGACAGTTCTGTAATTCATAATTTTTCTTCAGCATGCAAGGGTGACGGGAGGGACATAGCACGGACAGAAAAGATATTATACTCATATAATGAGTTTACTCTTGGCGGAAGGGAACTTGAAAGACCTACATGTGGTTGGACGGACAACATCAAAACTATTTATCTTAAATTTGTTGCGAAAGTGTGGACTAAGTGTATCTTGTCTCAAAATAGGGACAAATCGTGAGATATTTCGAACACACGTGTCATAAAATATGGAGTTCCATAAAGGTTGAGAATTTTGCCAACTAAACGACTATTAACTTGTTAAATGGAGTTTATCAGAATTCGAATGGAATCTACCTGAAGTTCTTATTCCCATTATTCATGAGGACTGACAGACAAGACGAGCATGTAATCTCGTAACAATCTTTTGTACAGTTGTATGCACATTCAATGATTAAATAAATGCCTATTACATTCTTCCATAAGCACCAGAAATATGAAACAAATTAAATTTGAAAGACGATTATGTTTACATATTAAGTTTTCGCTCAGTCTGGACAATGAGGAAGCCTTTAAATATACCGATAATCATTTGTCTGTACAATATTATAAGTACCATATAAATGTTGCGTCAGATCATGTCCAATCAATAAAGTTTGTTGTTGGTTTCCTGGTCTATTTTGTTTAGAAGGGCTTACCGAATATTTTATTTAAGATAATAAAATTATTTTGTAGCAGAAATTTCACAAATAAATACGGGAGAACGGGGCTAGTTGTTACAATTTTTAATTACTATTTTTTGTGTATTTATTCTTAAAATTTACAAAGTTAGCAATTATGGCTTCAGGTACTACTACTATTCGGCTATATTATTAACATTTTTTTAAAGGCCTATTCATTTTTGCTTCATCACAAAACTTGTTTATTTAAAAGAATGCGGTATGTAACAACGTGCCCTGTTATGGTGCTAGTTGTTACAGTGAAGGGGAAAATTGTTACAACACACTGTATTAGTAAACAGAAGGAACAATTCTGAACTTTATTAAGTAATTAATTACAGACAATATACCAATTAACAATTAATTACAGAAATTAACTCCACACATATGAAACATTTTCATCATATATTAGCAGCTTGCCTTAAAGAAATTCTTCCAGAAGAGACTTCATCAGCTGCTGACTCATGAGATGCTGCTGTAAATGAGTGATTTTTAAACTAAAATATAAAAACTTGCCCGTGTAACAACTAGCCCCCTTCTCCCCTACTTTAAATTTTCTTGTTAGGAATCTGAAGTAAGCAGTTCATAATGTCTGCATCCTTATGCAGTAATATAAAATTACGACTGACAAAATTCTGTTGGATCCGATTACAAGCGGGCAAATGGTCGGAAGTGAGAAAACAGTTCGATGAGACTTCGGACGTTTCACAGGAATAACCATTAAACGTATAGGGGAGACCGGGGCAGAACCGGTAACTTAATCTTTGGAGGCATGTGGAAGGGAAAATATTAAAGATAAACACATGGAGGAACATTATGTAGATTTATTGTCTATTTGAAATTTATAGTGACTTATTAGTTTAGTTTTAAATGTTACAGTTTTTTAAATTATTAATTTCTTTACAAGAATGTAACTTGTCCCATTTTGCCCCGTGTCCGGGGCAAGACGGAGTATGGTCGATATATATTTGAAACATTGTAAGAAGACAGATTATCTAATAATTATGACGTAGGATATAAAATTGATTTAGTATACAATGTAAAATGTCGAAACTTTACACATTTGAAATCTACTCAGGCCTAATGCAGACGGCACACACGTGACTACCAACACCTGCACTTGAGTTATGGGCCCATTTCAAGCAAGAAGAATACAGATCCACCCTTCAATAGACTGCGAATAGACATCGCCGCTTTACAGGCACTTGTCATTTGATCCTCTTCTCTGGGTACCCCAATCTGCCCCGAGTATGCTCTTTCAAATTAGGATTGTCCTACCAAAAATTACATCATGAAAATAAATAAAAATATTGTATTTAAGACTTTCAAGAAAACACCCTGTAACATGCATCATTCAACAAAGTGGATATAAATAATGAATAGGTCTTACCTTCACTGGAAGCTGAGAAAGATTTGTAAAATGTAGGATCAAAATCTGGCATGGGTGATTATTTCAGAAACTGTAACCACAAGATGGCATGAATGACATCACCCTGTGCTGTATGCTAATGGTATTTCACCCAGTCCCGATAGATTGCAACGCATTGCAGACGAAATAAAGCCGATACCCTGTTCTGCCCTGGTCTCCCCTATTTAAATATAGGTTATAAATCTAAAAAATAGTCTGATGTTTCACGCGGTGGTGATGAAATCACTTATGGTGACATTTACCATTTCAGTAGGTTTACTCTTATTAATACTAATTGATCTTTTATGAAGGAGTCGGGGTCGGAGATTTTAGTACCGACTCCACAGCCCTGCCTGAAAGGCGAGGAATTTGTTGACAAGTCAGTCGGTGTGTCCTGAGGACGAGGTGTGAGGCAAAGAGACGTCGCTGCGGTTAAGCTGACGTCCAGGGCTCGGCCCTCTTCCGGTCATTGAGACGAATCAGTTTAAACTTAGAACAGGGATTTAATTTTAGTGCGATCTTTATATAAAACAGACATTTGGCCATGGAGAGGCACCTCTAGGTCACTAGCTTCACGTCACATTTAGATCACGTGCAGAGAAACAGAACGGAACACATGTGTGCGCGTTTATACCCTGGTACAGATGACAGATTTCACGACAAGACACGGAGAACAACATGAAAATATTTTTATGTGGAATGATATGACCTCGATTAGACATTTACTCCACGCCAGAAGTAACTTTAACACTTTCATGACTCGGTCGTCGGGGCCACGTTTTGGAAGCGCGTTCTGTGGCACGTGAGGAAGAACGCGCGTCCTACCCCTAGCATAAGACGGCGCCCCACTGATAGCTCCCGACGTGAAATAATTAGCCCGCGTTCAGAACTCAGACGGAATAAAAAACGCGTCGTGCTTAAACAAAACACGAGCGCAGGAAATGCTATCGCAGGTTGTCTGGGACATTTCCGTGTCGCTTTCCAGAAGTCGTTCTCCATGTTCGGTTATTGCAGATAATCTCGGTTTAACCTGGTCAGTAGTAGAGATATTACATGACATGGACATCTTGGGTGGCTGATTATTTTCGTATTGGGTTATAAGGTACTTACAGAGTCTTGTTGACCCAGGACAGGGTCCGGTGGAGGGCTTTGGCTAATTCGGTGATGAACCTTCGGTTTACGTAAGCCATCTGGTTGGTTGGGTCAACTATTTGGGAAGCCTGAGGGGAAGAGACCTCTGGGGAGACCTAGACGTAGATGGGAGGATAATCTCAGGCGGGATCTATGGGAGATAGGAGTTGAAGGAGACTGGATGTTGTTGGCCCAGGACAGGGTCCGGTGGAGGGTTTTGGCTAATTCGATGATGAACCTTCGGGTTCGGTAAGCCATCTGGTTGGTTGGGTCCACTATTTGGGAAGCCTGAGGGGAAGAGACCTCTGGGGAGACCTAGACGTAGATGGTAGGATAATCTCAGGCGGGATTTATGGGAGATAGGAGTTGAAGGAGACTGGATGTTGTTGGCCCAGGACAGGGTCCGGTGGAGGGCTTTGGCTAATTCGATGATGAACCTTCGGGTTCGGTAAGCCATCTAGTTAGTTAGTTAGTTACAGAGCCTTGGATCATTGGAACGAAATTAAAAAAAAATTCCTTACTACAGCGTTGGGTCTGACAGGTTGGTACTGACACTATTAAAACTCAGTGTTACCAACTTCTTTAACTCTCCATTTTGCATTTACGTGTTTCGCACGATTTTCTGAATAAACAGCGATTATTTCTGTAAAAAGTTTTAACCAGATGATCTTTTGTCATGGTGAAATGCTGTGTTTTCTTTGCGGTACGGACTAAATTCTTAAATATTATTTAGATGAGCTTTGGTCTTGAATAGGTTGAGACTTGGGTTGAACTTTATCACCAGTTAACAGAATAAACAGCGTAAGATTGCAGGAACGAAAACAGCGCATGTGTTCACAGTCTTTCGCTGTTTACGTCTGCTCACATGGTTCACATTGCAGCAGTTCGAAAACGGTCATGTTAAACGCTCAGAACTTTGGTACTGTAAACAATTTATTATTATTATCATTATTATAACAATTACTGTTAAAATGAATAAAATACTTTGTCAGAAACAATTAACTAAAAGTTTCTTTCATTACGTTCAAACAAAACAGGAGTATATTGTAATATAAAGCAGAGTTGGAAAACAAACGGGGAATTTTATTTATTACGCGTGGCACTACTTGAAACAACAGCCGACAGGACACGAAGCCAGTTCGTAATGGTGACAGATTACCTTTCTCAACAATAGAATTATGCCTTGACAAATGTCGAGTACGTGTTGAGAGACGTAAGATGGCGACAGCTTCCTTGTCTCTTGTTTTAACCTGGTCGTAGGAAGTTGCAATCACCCGGGTTGTTAATAAAACGATGTCACGTGACAGCCGGAAGGACGTCGCGCGTTTTGATGAGCTTTCTGGATCGTTAAGGCAAGAATTCTCACCAATCAATGTTGAGCTGAACTGGATGTGGTCGTAACTTCCGGTTTCAACTTCTTATTATGACGACTTCCGGTTCGTCTTGTCATTTGCCAACTCTGTATCCGGAAGTACGCCATGTCTGTTTCGTCTGAATATACAATTACACTTTTCAGTGAGCGAACCGGCTTGAGTAGGCCCGTGCGTTTCCAAGGAAACCGCAGTTCGAAATGTGTTTGTTTCTTAGGCTATTTAAATACTTTATCTTAGTTGGGGGTTGTATGCAGCGTAGGATGACATTGGAAGCTGATCACAGATGGTGAGAAGGTAAATTTGAAATATTGAGCGCGGTTTATACAAAGATTAATACTGTTAGTGACGGATAATTTAACAATTGGTCGATTTCGACAGACTTTTCATTGATTAATGATGTCTTGTTTTCTTTTGAGGTAAGCGCTAAGATTTAAAAACTGTTTAGACGGACTTTGGCGTTAAATTGTTTAAGCGATCTCGCCTGGCGCCATACGAAGTGGTGAATCGGGAATTAATTTTAACATTAACTTCTTTAAAGGGCAGAAGATTTTCGCGGGAAGGAAACTTCAACGCGCAACTTCAGGAAGTGGTTGCTTACTGTACCAAGTTGAATGACCATGTGTGTGCCTGTGTGTTGACAGTAAATCTGTTAGGTGCATTGCGTCATAGGCGACTAGTGACAAGAGACATGCCACGACATGGCTGCCGTGCACAAGATGGCCGCACACAGTCTGCGTTGTGATACGACGCCAGATTAAGACAACAGACTGGCGTCGGGCTCGTGGCTTTTGAACTATGGTGGGGAGGAAGTGATTTTGGTTTCAAATTCGACTGTAAACCAGCAAAGGAACCGCATTTTGACCTTACCGGGTAAGATGTGTGTTTGAGCGCCATGTTGTTCGACCAGGAACTGTTTTTGTTGACTGCGTATTAAAGTATGACGTCACTGCATAAGACATTCACCCGATCACAGCATTTCTTCTGCACATGATCCGCTTTATAGTGTTTTTTTTCCGTCCTCATGAAGTCAGTGTTTCTTACGCTCGTGCTAGGTCTCGATTGATTGGGTTCAGTTGGAATTAACTTCGTCCGATAAGGTTAAAAATGGAGTACCGTGCCATTTTGTGTTCGTGAGATGACAGGTTAAAATCTTCGCTGCGATATCGTGTTTTATTCAGGAGGATACTATTGTATTGGACAGACTGAAGGCAAGATACCACTCGGAAAGATCGCACGATAATATTAAAATTTATCTTATAGAAATAGGGATGAAAGGTGTGGATTGGATTCATCTGACTCGGGATAGCGACCAGTAACGGGCTGTTTTGAAGACGGTAATGAAGTTTCTCGTTTCATGATTTTAAAGGATTTTCTTGACTGATTAAGCTACTGTAAAAGGATATGATGTAAATCCGCGCGGACTTGTAGATGGGCACTAAATTTTCTGGGGACCGTACTGCCTTCATCTTCAGGCATTACGTTGAATTTAAAATGAACACATAAATGGAGGAGTTTGCTTTAAAACTGAACACTAAAATGTTTCGTTCCGTTCAGTACAACCTCGGTGCTGTCGCACTGAACTCGTGCTGATGTTATTAACATCTGCTAAAGATGGTTCATTGTTTAAATGAATAACAGATGTAAACCAAACCTCGTTTGTTGGGCTCTGTTGCTTTTATTTGGACAATTTCGGGACATGGATTAAATTTTATGTACAAAATAAAATTTCTTTTTGTGTTTTGTAACACTCTGCTGTCTAGCACAACAGTGGTCCGTTTGATTCAGTAACTGTCTGCGTTGGTTATTATTATTTAGTGTTCTGTCTGACGACAGGTCCCTTGTTCTGCCCAAAAAGAGTTCGCCAGTTTTCCCAATTCTCAGCTTCTCGTTTTAACCCCTGCAATAAATGAACATCGATAACTGCGATCGATATATCTCGCAGAACACGCTTGAAAACTGTCTTTTGTTTTAAGATTTCGTGTTCGAGTCTCGCCTGGTGCAGAGCAGTGCTGCCAATTGTGAGGTCACTGGCCTTCTCGCCAATTGGCAGTACTTAAATCTGAGAACAATTGAGTGAGTGGGAGCGAAGGGCGGAAGTGACGCACGTGCTGCTGCTACTACAGGAAGTAGCCCTGTCCGCCATGTTAGTAATGCGTAGGGCCGATTAAGTGCAGGAGTCTCATGTCCCTCGCAATCGTAATTATCTTGTTGATAAATTCACATCTACTTCATATTCCCCCTTCTTGAAGAGATTAACTTTTTTAAATACTTGACTTTGAAGTTCTCACGGCATCGAGTACCAAGATGGCTGTCTTCTGGGTGATGATGGAGGCAATAAACACCCCTCAAACGTTGCTCATTATGTACCAGAATGCACGATTAAATATAGATGCTTCACTTCTTATATTGTTTTACGATTCTCTGTCATATGACACGAGAGAGAGAAGAGAGAAAGTGGGGGGAGTAGCGATAGGCACTACTGTTATAAATGGGGGAGGGGTATAAAGTTGGTTGTGGGCTACGAAGGTTCCCAGGCAGTGCCCGCTCGTCCTTCTGGTATGAATAAGTTTAGTGAGGACAAGGGATTTAGGAGACAGGATGGGGTAAGAAATAGGGTAGGGGGGGAGTTGGTTCGGGTCTTTGCGTTAATTTTGAATTTTGATATTGGCCTTGGGGGTGGCGTTAGGAATAATTTACGTTGTCATATGAGGTCTTCTTCTAAACTCGAGTCGCGATAGGTCGTACCGCAAAGAAAACACAACCTGTCTCAATGACACGATCAGTTGGTTAATGCTGTTTAGGCAAATAATTTCTGTTGGTTCTGAGAATCATACAGGACCCATAAATACAGTCTGTGTTCAAAATTTAGAGCTGCTAGACCCTGTCCTAAATCGCACGATGCCATTCCACACCCCTACACCGTATTAAATTTGAATTTAACGTTATTTTTCTATGTACGCTAATGTTTCTGACGTGGTCTCTTATATTCTCATATTCCCACAACATTTTAAAAGTAATTTTTCTCGCGCCGTAAATTTCCCACGCATATTATTCTTTTAGATTTGATTATCCTTTATATCTTGTGTCAAGTACGAGGGAAGAAGAGAGAGACAGAAATATGAGTACTTGAGAGGGAAAACAATTATACAAACTGAAGTTGGCCAGACTGAATTTTTATATTTCATTCAAATGGGAACAGTGACGGACAGGTTCCTATTTAATTTCTCGCCATTCGCTGATTTCTTACCTCCTAAACTTGTATAATAACCTCGACTTCCTCTCCAACTTTTGGCTGTTTTTATTCCGCGATTTACAATCTTCTTGTCGTCGTTTTGAAACTCGTGCCAATCCTACTTACCCGCCATCTGTCGCCAAGATCAGGCTGTTCACGGCACACTGGCCAATCGTGTGACAAGGCTAGGCTAATTCCATGAACAACACGCAAGGCCCTAGACACAAATATTGTTTCAGTTCGGAATTTATTCTTTCTTTGTTTCATTTCTGAGGGTTGGTATTCTGTGTTATTTGCTCGAATGATATAATTCTTTCCTTACTGTCCCCTGATGTAGACGTATACGAAATAGCTTACATTTGTCACAACTGTGTAGCATTTTTATGCACGAAAATTAAGTCGAATCTATCATTTAGCATTACTTTCCTTTTAAAACAGTTTTGGTCCATATAAATTCATGGATAGTTTGAGGTTAGGTCTGAGGTTTATGCTCCTCTGGGTTGTGACGTGGCGTGGATTTGCATGTTCCTTCCACCGTTTCGGCGGGACATACTGCCTCCTTCTTCAGGTCTGATTCCCACACGCCGTTACAAAACAGGAGACCAACATCAATAAGTGGAGTGTGATTTCTGATATTGTTTGGAATAAATTTTTATAAATCGGTTTGGTGATGTATTGATTAGTTCTTGAACCTCCAAACATCTCACCTTAAAAGACCCAAGAAAAAGTGTGTTTATTGTACCATCGTTGTTATGGTTCTATTCTTGGAAACTAGACGCCATGTTTTCAACTCGCAGTATGGCGCTGAAAGCAAGGGGAAAAAGGATATATGGGCTCTTCCTTCTGCAAACATGTCTGCCCACGTTTTTAAACTGTCTTTTGTTGGATGGTGATTGTTACGTACACTAGGGATGGAATTGTTGACGTGAACGCGGGGTGGGGGTGGGGGGTGTTTATGGTATAATAGCAACCTGTCTTATCAAATGGGTTTCGAGGCGTATCCACTGGAGATAACATTTGGTTCGTCTGTTTTTGATTTTCAATGATCATATTGCATCGTTGTCGCCTGTTGCAGACGTGTACATTTGAGTTCGCTTTCATGTGTGAGCAATATATGGCTTCTGTAAATAGCAAATATTTGTTACGTAATTTCTTTATGAAACTTTTCGACCTATGTTAATAAGACTTGCTCATAATGGAAACACACATTTCTAAACAAACTTTTATTATCGCAGACTTTGCCACTTTTGATTTATAGGAGACAGACACTTATATTATATA